CACTCAGTTGCCCAGACTTAGCTCTTCTTTTATACAAAATACCTATGATAGTTTCAAGAGTGTTAAAATTGTGAGGGAGTGAGGATCGTCATTGGTGTTAAGCCCTGTGAAACTGTTGACTGTTTTCTGTTTCGTGGCTAAATCAGACATGACAACATGACTCTTCCCAAACAACAAGGCTTTTACTACTTTAACCTCATAAAGATGTGTGGTGTTGTCTATACAATCCCATTGGTATCTTAAGGTAGTCATACTCCTTCAAGGCGTTTAAACACCTGCATTTATGAGGCTTGGAATATTCTGACGTTGTTGAAAAATGAAAATCAAACACCCGTTATTAGCCGAGCTTAATTTGATAGTGTGACCACTCTGTTTTTAAGATGGCATTTTAGTCACAATACATAATTTCAAGGTGAGAACTGTAATTTTACTCTTACAAGAGGCCTGTAAAAGGTCTTATTCTGCAGAACTACGTAAGACCACACACCATATTAAATACATTCTGTGCCACATTTATATGTCATTGTCCCTTTTGCAGCCTTCCCCAGTATATCTTTCCAAATCTGCAGAATACAGACCTCCCACTTCCAACTATGCCCACACGCTACATGAATTTCCACTGCGACTCTTTTTCCAAGCATATGTGTAGCTAAAAGCACCACTTAAGAGAGGGGGGGGGGGGGGGGGGGGGGAAATGGATGTTCTATATGTTCTATATGATTAAAGCAGAACCCCAATTTTGCCATAAAAAGTCTCTTGAGAATTTCTTGAGAAAGATATTCTTGATCCAGTGTAACAGAGGAACACCTAATAAATGATAAGATGAAGTCTTAGATCATTCTAAGGGGGACAGTTTGGGAAGGACTATGATTTAAAGATACTTGTATTCCCAGAGGAGGCGCAGTGCAGACTTCAGACAAACACATTAATGTCTGCTTGGACAATGTTGGCCTTTCAAATCCATAACAGCTTTGCTGTTTTTATAAATGTTAGCATCTCCCTCTAATCACACAGAAACACGCAAAGAAAAGTATTAATCTCAACACAAGATAGAATGAGCTTGTCAAAGGAAACTGCACTTTAATTCATATTACATGCAGCAGCTAATTTGCACTTAAAGAAGAAAACGGTCCCTTTCAAATAATTTGTTTCTTGAGGGAAATATCCGAGCAGTGACAGAGTATTAATTATATGCATAGTTTCAATGAGGAAGTGTACCACAGATGGTACATAATCAAATTTTCTGCCCTACATTTCAGTGTTTGTCTGGAAATCCCTTTGATGCATGTCACTCAACCAGGAACAGAAGTGATTTATCTTGAAGACAAGTCTGGATTTTAGTACAAAGCAATTAATCATCAACCTGACTGTGATTCTTTATTTGTTTTGGCTAGAAATGAAACAAGACATAGACTGTGAATGGAATCAAATCATTTTCAGCTTGACTGGGCGCTGAATGGTGACCAACTGGTCAGAAAGTCAATAAACCAATATTTTTCCCACACTTCAGCTGCGTTTCCATTACAAATGTGTGCAAAACTTTGTCAATATTCTGTCAATGTGAAAAAAAACAAAACACAATTTTGCAATTGCAATGCTTCCATTAAGTAGGAAAAGCAATTAAAATCACACATGAATAAGTTTGTTTACATGATAAGTCGTAAAAGAACATGACGGGTCATCATCATGTGATCATGTGACTTGTGTGATGCAAAAAAAAAAGTGCTTACATTGCATTTTTGCGAAATAAACCAATTTCCATACGGCCAAACAAATATAATAAAAACTTTTTTATTATGAGAAGACAAGGTTTTTTTTTTTAATTTAAATGTTTCCATTAAGCAAGTTTATTTTGGAAATGTGAAATTGGAAAACTATATGGCCAATGGAAACACAGCTAGTGAAAAATAAGTACAACCAAGTCACTCTGTCTTGATTGTGTGGAAGTTGTTACTATGTAAAGACAACTTTACCATTTTTAGTCCCAGACAAGTATTTAAAAATGAAGTCAAAGGAAAAACATATACTTAAGAACTAATAGTGTTTTCTATGACGTATTGACACGTCTGCATTACATTAAGGCAATAAAATAGTGAGAGAGAGCAGAACTGTCAGAGGATAAAGGAAGAAAAACACGTTTGGTTTGTTTTAAAGCTAAAAAATGATTAAAATAGAAATAGAAAGCAATTTTAAAGGAAAGTGTCTTTTCTACAAAGACACTTTTGTTCTTTTGTTCAGGCTGCAAAGCAGCGAGAGAGAGCAAAAATTCAGTTGATGATAGGAAGGCTAAAAGGACAGTAGCAACTTTCGGTTTTTATTTGTCATGGAACATGCTGAATTCATAAATGGATGTATTACCTCACTGTATTGCTATGAAACACTTATATTGTGATATGTTTTTCAGCCATATCATCTAGCCCTATTTGATTATATATTATGTTCAGTAAAGATATAAAACATCATCTCTGGTTGGTGTTGCTATGCTATGGAGTGCTTGAAGTTTAACTTAACACTTTTTTTTTCTTTTTGTTAAAGCTCAGTTATATGTAGAGTGCATATTTTGTCTTATTGTCACTCCGGTAGTGGGCTAAATATTAGATCTGGGTTAACTAGTCTGGAGTACAGTTAGGAAACTCCCCAGACTCATTAACTACACATGAATAATCTATGCACAGATTATAATTAGCCTGCAAGTGGGACTCATCAATATCTATGTGTGCGCGTATGTGCGCGCGTGTGTGTGTGTGTGTGTGTGTGTGTGTGTGTGTGTTCCAGAAATAGCTGACTTCACTACTGATGAGACTGAGCTTGGAGCCATCTCTTATTTACAGATGTCACTTTTAAATAAAACTCAAAGAAATCATTACCATTTTATCAAGCTCTTTTAAACTTCGCATGTTAAAAATACACTTGAAAAAGTATTCGATTTGATTAGAGGTAAAGTAGCAAGTGTTGAAAAGACGGTTAAAGTTCAGGTTTGTATGCCTTATGTACTGATTTTACTTGTCTTTACATAAAATAATATTATACTAAACCAATCAGTTGAAAACAATCTACCTTACAGTACAATTTTCTTCAGGTTCTGCAGAGTTTTTAAGGTGAAACGGTTTCAGACGAGAGGACATCTTAATTGTGAAATCTGGTTATTGGCTGCAAAAACAGAGGAGCAACAGAGGTCTTTTATTAATAATTTCCTCCCACTTAGCAGTCAATTACTCAGCATCTGAATTACAACAAGAAGACTTGCTCTCAGGCCCAACATATGAGTGCTAACAGACATGTATTTATCTCAGTTAAGGCTGTGATAAAAACACAAGAACGGTGAATCCATTGGGAAAAACGAGAAGCACAAGCAGTCAATCAGCTTTGGTTATTGAACTGAAAACTGTTCAAAGACAAGCAGCGGTTCCATTACAAATGTGCACAAAACTTTATTGATATCCCACTAATATGGAAAAAAAAAACACAATTTCACAACTGCAGTGTTTCCATTAATGAAGAAACACAAATAAAATCACACATGAATAAGTCTGTTTGCGCTACAAGTTGTTAAAAGTCATGTGGTGCCAATATCCTACTACTACTTCCTGTAGTCTTCTTTGTCTATACACCCTTAGTAACATTCGGCTGTTGATCATTTGACTTATGTGATGTGCAAAAAGGTGTTTACATTGCAAAATACACTCATTTTAAAACTGACATAAAGTTGTCGAGCCCAGAATGCTGTGGTTTACATAAGGTGGGAGGGAGAAAGATGCATAGCGTAAAATAATAAACTTTCATTTTGCACGGAACAGTCAACATTGGAACTGGAAGATATTTTAAATAGCCAAAAAAACAACAACTCAAAACAATAAACGAAAACCAAACACCTATGACAGTTAGAACCTTTATCAGAATATGTAAAAGAACTGAACTCACATCAGCGTCTTATTTTTTTCCAGACGTAAAATGTAAGGAAAACTCACTCAGTCGATGATTATTTACCAAGCATGTCGCTAACAACGACACGCTTCAGGACTTTAACCACGCCTCATTATCAACTTAAGGAAGCTTGCACAGGAGAAAGGAAACTTACACAAACATTGTTCCACGGAGCATAAAGCTTCTCTCTTATCTCCTTGTGTGAGGAAAAGGCAGCTTATTGTCTTCAGTTTCAAATTAGCAAGAATATTCTGCTCCAATAGGGAGAGTTAAAGCCAGGTCCTTCTGTTTAAAAAAAAAAAAAAACTCTAGTAAGCAATTTCCTTTACTGTGGCGACATGCTGGGAAAACTTCCTTTTCTTCATTTACTCCCACTTCCTCAAATTTCCAACCTAATCACTGTGGTTATACTCTGGTACCAGAAATTTTTGTTTTGTTTTTTTGCTTCGAGGTGGAATATTGTTTCTGTTTTTGTGAGAATCTAACACACACAAGCTTTGGGCTGAATAAAATATTGTATCAAGGCAGAACATGTTTCAACTAAAAAGGTCTGCAGAACCTTTAATGGCAATCCTGACTAGACTTTCAGAAAAAAGAGCATATGATATCTTAGAACTCTGATAAAGTTTTCTGGAAATCTGTTCTCATATGATTGTAAGTACATTGAAGAAGTCTCTCATCTCCCTGTTATTATAATCACATGCATTCCCACTGGAGCAGTAATTCACACTAACACCTTAATAAGCTGCTCCAGGCTCGTGCATCTTTGTGGGAGTGCATCCACTCCCACAAAGATGGAGGCTGAGAAAAACTCGAGATAAACGTAAAAAACAGAAATGTAAAATGTGTCAAAAAAAAAAAAAAAAAAAACCTGCAGAAATGCACGTATTGATTTGATGAGTGGGTGTGTCTTTGCACAGCTGTGGCAAGCTCTCAATAGAGGTCTGCAGAGAAGCTGGGTAAATCCCCACGTCCATTAAAACGGCATTTAAATACTCTGAAAATGAATTTCCATTTGAGCAATGTGCTCCAAAACTCAGTGAACTTCACTTCAGACCTGTCAGTCTGCGTCTTACCGTCTATATTTTCTCTGTCGCTGATGTGCTGGAGATTGCAGCCCGTGTCCTCACGACTCAGCTCCGGCTCCGGTCGGTAGGGCTCCAGCCTGGAGTGGTTGCTCCTCCGGTGTTTGGGGCTCGACGACACGCAGCAGGAGGTTGTATTCCCCATTTTGTCCGCGGGCCCCGGTGAGAGTCTTCGCCGCCCCAAGTGCTTTATTTACCGTGCTGTCGGTTTGCTGGAGAAGCGGGGTTGGGGTGGGGGGAGGACGGGGCGGTAACGCTACGAGCTGCTCCCCCGGTATCCGCTAGCGCTACACGCCCTTCTCCGGTGTTCCTATGGCGTGCCGAAGGTTGAGCGGAGCCATTACAACTGACGAGAAACGCGAAGCTCGTGTCGGTAAGTCAGAAGAGGAGACCAGCGTCCTCCTCCAAACCTTCAAGCGGGGACAGGCAGCGCCTCGAAGGGCTTCGGCTTCCCCTCGACTCGCTCGCCTCGTACTTCCTGACAGGACGCGCAACTATCGTTACAAAGGCATTTTCGGGTCCCGGAAATTTTTATCCTACACGAATAAAGGTTACAACGCGGTTCCTAAACAGTTCAGGAATTGACTGCTACATTGTTGCCACTGTACAGTAGATTGCTGTTGCAGCTACATCCGCTGTCCTGCTGCATTCAAGGACATGGCATAAAATAGGATTTTTATTATTTGTAAAGCGCTATTTATTTTCTTCTGAACAAATTCCATGTAGGTCGCGCCTGAAAAACAAAGTATTAAGTGAAAAATCACTAGTTTTATGTTTCAAAAACTCCAAATAAAGCACAGTTAGGATAGTTTTAACATAGTTAAAACTATTTTAAACTAGCATAGTTTTAACAGTCAAAACTACACTAAACAAGTAGCTTTCTTAAGGTTTACCTTACATTTCGAAATTGGTAAAAAAATAAAAAATAAAAAAGCACACTCGATAAGACAAGGAATAAATTTAATTTGCTGACCACTTTGCTTTTAAATTTCCCAAAACGTAACGATTAATAATGTATGTCGAAGAACGAAAGGAAATTGCAACATTTCTGTCGGTACTTGAACACATCCACATTGTGGCCGTGATGGAAACGTTTCCGGTTCAAGTGGGTGGTTACAGCTGAGTAATAAATAGACTAAAGCGATAGTCCTCTGGGTTTTACAGTTGGATTAGTGCAGATGTGCTTCTGAAGACGGTCTGTTTTTGCTAGACAAATAATGACAAAAAAAAATTTACTCTCCAAAATGTTTTATACACAAAATATTATGTTGAGTACAGTGGTGGCCTTGGTATTATATGGGCCCCTGGGTGTGAGAATTGGATTTTAAGTCCTTTTAACATTTTGCAAATTTAAATAAATTGACCATCGGGTACATAATAACCTAAACTTTTTTCTGTTTTGTCAATTTCCCCCAAAAAATAATATCCTTAATTATTCTTAATTTGTATCATTTTATTTAAAATTATATATTTATTTTGTTTTCGATGAAGTATGGAAATAAATACCAAGAAAGTGCTCAAATCGCTCATTTAATTAAATGTATTGGTGAATTCTGGCAGAGCTTGTCTTACACACTATTTCCACTGGTTGTAGTTGTGATGCAGTTGGAATTAGGTGACCCCATGAAATAAATCTATTTGAAGTGATGGTATGGCACATCCTGCTGGTAATGCAAGTACACTGCACTTTTTGATACAGGTTGAGTTTTGTGTTGGAGTGGTCCTTCTTGCAACTGAATGTTTTGCGGTTCAGTCAGTAAAACGTTTTGTGTGTCTGTGAAGTTGTGTGTGTGTGTTAATTGACTTCTGTAGAACAACCATTTCAACATATTTTATCGATGCTGTCATGTTTGACAATATGCGTGATTGAATCCAGGTCGAAACCTAAAATCAGACATACGTCTTGCTCCGGAACTGGGAAATTGGCAACGGTGAGTTTCCCAGTGTGGTTTTGTTCCAGTCAAACCAGAGAATGGCTGGGTTTTGTTTGAAGCATTCACAGGAATGCAGTTTCACAGCAGATCATCTTCTGCACTGTGTTTCAGATCTCCTGCAGTACAAAATGAATCAAAGTCCTAATCTGTGTTTATTCTGTCAGTAATTCTTCCATAACTGCAATCTACATTTGGCGAAATTCCACACTTGTCCACACTTAGGTGTTTAGATTAATGTGGATTCCCTGGGAGATGGTATATCTTGTGTCTGTTCTCTTCAAATATCAATTCTCAGTTGGGTGAGTTTTATGGAAAACTTACTCATCCTCTCTCACTGTGTACCGCATATCAAAACACTAGAATGTGTTTTTTTAAAGCCTGTCAGCCGAAAAATGTGACAAAACGTCTCAGAGTGTTAGAAAAAATGAAGGACAAAACATCTGAGTAGTCACACAAGGTTGAATATGAAGACGGTAAAAGCTCTCTGAAACACTTGCTGATGTATGAGTCAGAATTAAAGTCTAAAAGTTTGATAGCCTTGGGGAAAAAATACATCACTTTTTTAGTAAAGAAAAGAAATCATAGCAGAGGATGACAGCATTGAGCTGTTATCTTTCTTTTTAATGCTTGTTCCTAAAGGTTCTGGGAACTACTCTGGAACATGTGAAGATTCATATATTAATAAAAGTTGTTTTCATTTTTTAACTGAATTATTATGGTGTAGCCCTTCTTCTGCATTGAATAAAACTCCTTAAATTTTCAGATCTTTATCACCACGTTAAACTCTCTTAAAATCTCTCAACTTTTCCAAATGTGATCCTAAAAACTGAATACTTACAGTACGTTGCATCCGCGTTGGCACAATATCGAGATGAAATAACTATTTGGGCAAAATCGGTGTAAAAGTCTGGGATCTTTTAATATGGTGAAACTAAACCCATCAAACAGCATTTGCAGAGAATAAAAACTCTTAACAAAATAAATAAAACACAAAATCCAGCAGGCAAGACGGGTTTAAACAGCATTGTTAATATTAACAAAACAAATGAGGAATTGTATTAACAAAAAATAAATCTAACATAAATCTATTGAGCCAAAAAAAAAAAAAAAAAATCCTGCCCAAAAATAAATAAGCAATGATATTTGTCTTCAGATATGTAATCACATATATGAACTTTGGGACCTTACAGGCTGCTTTTCAGTTAAAATATGAAGTATCCTGCAACTATAATTCTTTCAGGATTTTTTTTTTTTAAGAGAGTAATAATAGTAAATTTAGTTTTTTGGAATACATTCTCAAGTTTTTCCTTCTCACAACATCAGCTGGCGATGCAAAACAGTAGCGAGCTAATCATGCGGAATACAGAATGCGACACAAATAAAATGAGATAGTGGCACGAATAAAGGCAGTGACTTCTGCTATTTTCACTCAACCTCACCCATATGTGTCCAGTGAACACCGGCACGCACTCGCAAACCTTCCCTCCTAATACTCGCTCTTGTTTGTCCTCCTGGTGTTGGATAATTGCGACCCTTGAAATCCTGACATCATTGTGTGAACACAGAAAATTAACGACGAGGAGTGCTTTGTGTCAGCGCGTTTGTTATTCCAGACTCCATTCAAAAAACACGCCACTGAAACAGACAAAAGTCCACAGAATCCCACGCTGCCGATGTCCTCTGCGACGGCAGTCACTCCACTTTGTGTCCGTAGATGTCTTTCAGGGCTCTGAGCTCCTCTATGAGAGTCTTGTTTTGCTGCTCCAGCACGGCCACTCGGTTTTCAAGGCACGAGACGTACTCCTTCTTCTTTCGCCGACACTCTCGCGCAGCTTCCCTGGAAGCGACAGCAGCAACGATTAGAGGCCTGGACATCTTTGGCCCCTCTCCCAGATTAAACAGAGAGCGTATTGGGGCCATAAATTATGAAAGCTTCTTTGTAATGTTTAGGTCACGACCGCCACGATGACGCTAGAGTAGAACTACACTTTGGTTGGATGGATTTTCTGTGCGTAGTGAGATGAGTACAAAGCACGATTGAAACAATACAAAGCCTCAACAAAATAGCATTTTGTGGCTGGAGGACCACAACAGTCATTCTTTCCTTCAAAATACGTCACAGAAAAGCTAACAGAAAGATGACCTGACAAGGGAGAATGATTGGTCCCTCTCTACCTGTTTTTCATTAGGCGGAGCTCCCTCTTCTGCAAGGAGTCCTCTAAAGGCTTCTGAGGGCCGTAACTCCCAAACCCGGAATTGGTCTTCAACTGCTTAGAGGTGGGGTTGCGCAGCTGGCAGTTGGTAAAGTCGCCAGAAGCCACAGAACCTGGGAAGAGGCAAAAAGAAATACAGTACGTCAAACTACAAGATTGATCTATAGGCCGTACTGGATACTGGTTACTCAGTAACTAACGAGTTAAAAATGATGGGACATAAAATAATGTGTTACAGTCTGAAAGACAACAAGTCAAATGTTAGCAAATCAGTAAAAACAATTATATAAAAAAAGAAATCCCCAAAAACAGCTTTTATGTTTGAACAGAAAAAAAATTATTCCAACCATTTGCCAACGACTGGAAATAATGGGTGTTTCCAATAATAATGTTTGCTGTGTATGAGTTTAAACTGCGGCACTTTTCATGTCAACGCCGACTATCGTCACCAGCTGCGCTTCCATTGCAAATGTGCTCAAATCTCTGTTCATGTAAAAAAAAAAAAAAAATGGAATTTTGCAATTGTGGGGTTTCCATTAAACAAGAAATCAAATCATCCTTGAATAAGTCATTAAAAATCAAGGCAGCGACAGATGCAGACAGTTGCATGAGATACATTCAGAATTCAGGATGCATGGAGGAGAATTCAGCCCAGGCTACAAATGTAGCCAACGTGTGAGGTAGCCATATGTAGCCAGGGAGCAGCTACATATTTTTGTCAGCGATTCAACACGTTCGAATGACGCACAACTTTTTATGAACTGTGTGCTGGTGGAGCCAGCTGCACATTGCCCAAAATAAAAAAATAAAAAATTAATTTTAAAAAATGAATCATGCTCCCACTTCCTGTTGTCTTCATGGCTTTCACCAGTAGTGACATCCGGCTGTTGGTTATGTGACTCCTGTCGCAGTTTTGCGAAATAAATAATAATATTTAAAGGTAACAGATAATGTAAGTCACAGCGGAGTTTAAACTGGCCTAATATGGTGCATCTTTCTTACAACAGTTAATCAATCAGAGTCCACCACAAAGCCCCACCCCCCTCAAGATTCAGGGAAACAGCAATAAGTGGCACCAGAAAACAACCCTGGTTCCTGTAAAAGGTTCCTGAAAACAAATTGAAACTTTAAGTCTTTTCTATGATCATTTTCCAGACTTTGCATGGGAAAATATTTATCTTTTTTTATTTTCAAATTGTTTTGGTTCAGGAAGTTTGATTCCCATTTCTCCTTTCGTCCAAAACAACCAGCTACAAACAGGAACATAACCATTTAGTTTGGATTAACTCAGTGACTGAGCCTGTTCCAAGCAAATCATATGTATAAGTGCATTTTCAACAAATCGAAGATAGCAAAGTCGACAACATCGAAAATGAATTAAGTGAAAAGACATTGCTTATCTATCATTCTGTCAAAAGAACTCTTCCCTCATGTCATAACTCTCTGCTGACTAATTCAGTCATATGTGGAGCTTGCAAAAAATGAGCCACATCTAATCGCAGAGAGTCCTGCGACTGACGTCAGGGTACATCTTATTTGCTGTTTCACATTTACACGTTGCTGCTGGGGGTCTGTTCCAGGAAAAGCAGTGACGTAAGCCACTGCTGCTATGCAAGTGAGTAAGTGGGTGAGTGGGCAGTGCATAGCACTGAAGCATTTCACAGATGATGAGCGAGAGAAACGCAGAGTGAAGAGCACAGAGAAAACGTCGAGCTTTTCCAAAAGCGTTTATCAAAGTAGGCTTGTTGGATTTTAGCATCCCAGTGAAATACTTTATATTACTTTTTTCAAGCGAGTAAACTAAATTTTATTTGCTGAAGTCAAAAAGACTACATTTCCCAAGGAAAATCCAACTTTTTTTAAAAGAAAACATTCTTTTTTCCATTCCAAAGCTCTCCACCTCATTCCAAATGCAACTAGTTTGAGTTAAACATATAGCTGCTCAAAAATTCATGAAGCAATACTTCACGTTAGTTACAATGTAAAACATATACCTGCTTCTGTCTCATCTCCAGTCACAGCCATGCTGTATCCGATCCCGCGTTCCCAAGAAGAGACCGTCTTCTTCTCCAGCACTGAAATGTCACCACAAGCAACAGTGAGACTATGTATGCAGTTTACAATTAGAGGCACTGACATCACTATGACATCACTGGTCTCTTGATGTCAACAGTATGGTTTGTTCTCCTCCCCTCCTCCCCAGCTGCCCGACGCAGCGCTATGACTCAGGGACTCTGCTGTTTGCATTTCCTCAGCTTGAGCTTCTGAATGATCCTGCTCTTTGAACGCCGGCTGTGACTAGTTTAGCTCAGTGCGAGCAATTGAGACAGGTGGCCTTCCTGGTGGATTGGGCAAAATGTTAAATCAACTCTTGACCCATCATTTGGTATTATCTTAAATAATAATAATAATAACAAAAAAAAATCAATAGAAAAATGCGCTTCCAATCATAAATGAGGCAAAAAAACTAAATTATTTTAATCTGTAAATGAAAACAGCACTCTGCCCATCATAGTTTTTTTTAGTATGCTCATAAATAAATCAAACAGACATGCTTACTGTAAAACTTAAATAATAAGTTTTAGAGTAAATAGTGGCGCTCATAATACCAGAACATACTCTTTATGGTTAATACTAAAGGAAAAGCCTCCCTCTACAGGTAGTGCAGAGGAACAGACAGGACAATGTGTGATGGAGGAAATTGTTCATTGACCTGGAAGGGTACCTGCAAGTTTCAAGTTTCAGCAATTCCAAAATAGACCAAAAAAAAAAAAAAATACATATTAGAATAGTTGGGGGAAGTGGCTGCATAACAATTAAGCATATGTCAAAATCTGTGAACACGACTTTGTGTCCGTGATAGAGGTAAAAACATACCCTGGTATGTTAGCAGCTACACTGCCGATAACTTTTGACAGGCGACTCAGACTTTTGCCTGAGTAAAAGGCAAAAAAATAACTAGATTAAATAGTCTTGGCTGCCACGACAAGATTTAAGATCTGCGATTAAAATCAACTGTACAATCCACGGACATTTTTCATATTAATTTAAGATATTTTAAAGACTTAGTTTTAGACACACAAATTTAAGACTTTTTCTTTGGCCAAAAACTTTTTTTTTTTTTTTTGCACGTCACAATTTTTCCAGAAGTTTTAAACTACAATGATCTTTTGGATTTTGGACACCTTGACGAATTTGGTTTTCCATGTGTCTACTACCAAATATCCCTCCTCCTTACAGCACCGCCATCCTCAACGACTCTCTGCAGATACTTGGATGATTTGAGTTCCGACGTCATTTAATAAATCATTTATTGTCACTTGCCGCACTGTCTTTTTAATGAAGATGAGGATGGTGTGGGTCACTGCAAAGGGTGGAATCTCAGGATCATCAAACTTCCTATTTTCACCTCTACACAACTGTGGGCATCTATTCATCAATAACTGAAAGGAAAAAGGCACGAATGCCTTTCAGAGAGAGGAGGGATGGAAAAGGGGAAGGAAGAATGGGAGGAAAGAAGGAAGTAACGAAGGAAGGAGTTACCTTGTGCCATAACAAAACTGTTTGGTCCTTGCAGTGAATCCATGTCCTCTGCTGCTGGCTGCTCATTGGTTCTGCTTACAGGAACAGATGCCAGGGTTAGAGTACTGTCTTGCTTTTCTTGCTTTACCTGGGCAGGAACGCCTTGACAACAACAAAACAAATAAATGCTTTAAAGACAAGACGGTTGTATTTGAGATTATTGCAACCAGTTTCATCAGTTGGTGATTTAGTTTGAAATGTATGAAATATTATACAGCTGTTACAAGACACAACTTCGACACAACGTCCCTTGCGTAGACCTTAGAGATTTTGGAACATTATGTGCAATAGTCTAGATGAAGATTGGGTGTTACCTGACAGTGAGTACATCCAACGCTGCTGCATACAGTTATACATCTCCTCATAAAGCGGAAACGCAGTGGCAGGAGGAGGCTGCGGCATCTGGGCGCAGCCCATGGAAGAGGACGGCAGGTTTGGCATTGGGTTAAGAACGTAACCGACAGGAGGTGCCTGAAAAAGCCCAGCTGGAACAAGCAGAACGGGATAAGGCTCAGATATATTACATATCATAATATAACAACTGCTTGTGATCGTGCTTTCAGACATGCTTACTGTGCTGGTTTTCCATAGTTCGCTGGAAAACCTGATCATTTCCCTCTGACTTAATTTGGTACATTGTGACTGACTAAGCCTGCAAGGGAAACCCAGTGGTACAGAATGGTAAACAGTTGGTCTTTGTTTCATGTCTTTATGCAGGATATCGTTTTAAAACTCTACAACACACACCTATTAATGTCTACATTTCTGGAGCCATTTTTTCCAATGGAAAAATCTCCAAATTTTACCCAATTAAACATTTTCCCTCCCTGGAATCACATGATTTGTTGGCGTTATAAGGTATCAGGTATGAATGGGGAGGGGGTGAGTTGAGTTATTTTGGTTATGCAGTTGCATAAGCTGTACAATAATTTGATACATTGCATCAGAGAGTCATATCTTCAGTGCTGTATTATGAAAACAAATATTGACAAAAAATCTGAAGGGTGCGCTCACTTTTGTGTTTGATGCCAATCAATCCAATAACCCATGACTAATGAAATGCTTGCTCACCTATTTGCACAACCATTTGTTTAATCAATGGCAAATGTTTGCCAAGTGGTTTTCGGTTGTTATCAAGTTGTTATTTGTCGGCGATGAATTTACAACTGAACACTTCTGCCATTTAAAATCAAAGCAATTCATCAGAAAGAGGAACCTGGCTTAGACTAAACAGAAGTGCGGTTATTACAACGAAAGGCTTATTTGGGGACACAAATGTCTTAAGTGTCACCCTCTGGTGGCTTTGGTAAGATGTAAAGAGCCTTCAGGGGAAACCTGGCTATAAAAATATGATGCACTTCTTGAAAAATTTGGTCAGGATAGCACAAAGCTAACAGATGTCTCTGCCTGGGGCGCCACGTTTTTGTCAACACCAGCAAGCTAAAGTTTAAAGTTACATTGTGAACTTCATAGCAAAGAGCTAATGCACTAACATTGCTTACTTTTAATAACAACAGTGAAAGGCGTGACTCACGATTAAGACTGCTTAATTTCGCCGGAGCGCGGCCTCGGTTGAAGTTTTATTATTATTTATTTATTTTTATTTTTTTTATCACTCTGTTTTCGCAAAATGTATTTGGTGCTTTATTCTGTTGCCAAGTAACTGTTTGACCGTTTTCTTGTTTTGGTTTTGTTCGTTCCACATTCAAAGCCCCTTGAGCGAGAAGCACAAGGTTAACGACATGTTGTCTATTTGTACTGTGAAATGAAAAACAACAATAATGACAATGATAATAATAATAATAAGAATAAACAAGAACATGATTTAATTGATAATAGAATATTGAAAGCAAAAGCAATTTTTATTTTACAAATTATTATTATTATTATTAGTATTATTATTATTATTATTATTATTATTATTATTATTATTATTATTATTATTATTATTATTATTATTATACTGAAAATAAAAGTTTTATGAAACGCCTCCAAAGAGGCTCCCGTAGTTTTGGGCGATACCATTAAAAGCGAGGGTGTTTTTAATATTTGGGACTGACTCGGTCAGTCTATACTATAGTTTATGATATAGTATAAGCAACTGAAAAACTGTTCCTAGGTCTAAGTACAATTTGTAAACAAACTCGCGCGTTGAAAATCAGAAAGTAGCATTTTGAATGCATTTACTTATTTCTTTACAGCGCATTCCCGACTCGCCAAAATGGTTTGATCCTGGAGGTACCAGGGAAGACTTGTAAAGCGAAATCAAGTCCGTGACAGCGGAGAAAGCTGACTTTTATAAAAGTAACTGGTGTACAGAGGTTGGTAGCACTTTCACGGCTTTTCTTGACCTGAGCGTGCTGTTATGTGTGACTGTGGCGACATGTTTTGCTGAGCTGTCAGAACGACTGTGCTGAAACTACTAAGATGACAATTTGATAGTGATAGCCAAGCTACCGTTAGCTAGCTACTAGCCGGCTAGTAGCTAGCTGTTCCCTAGAAATTGAATGGCACTGAACAGGAAGAAGAAGTAGCATGTTAGCGAGAGGCTAGTTAGCCTTGTAGCTCGCCAGCCTATTTTGGGATTGTCATTCCGCTAGCCAGCAACCTTTACTTCGCTACGTTTATAGTAAAGGTAAGAGGGGTGCTTGTCAAGCGACAGTGACGTGTTTTTATCCGAGACGAGTAATTGTACACAATAAGTAACCAGAACCAAAAGCTGTCATGACGCTGCAGTGTTATTTTTGTCTTTAAATGAACTGTTACAGTAACACGGGGCCTCCGTTTTGGTACACGATGTAATGTGAGTTTTCTGGGACACACCTGAGTGTTCATTGTGTTCTTGGGGGGCGTTGTTGCTGTGGTAATCTTCAGTACTTCACGGTGATGAATGTGCAGATGCATTCGGTAACCCGGAGCTTCCATAATGACGATTTGAATAGAGCTTTTGAGGCAAACTTAGATCTTCTTACACTGATTTAGTTTCAATATTAGTTTTGTTTTGTGTAGTTTTCCAGCCCCATTCTCAGTCTTAAACGTGCATTTGGTGTCTTACTACAATGCATTTAATGTCAATTTTACCGTCATAATCGACTTTTGTTTCCTTGCCACTGTTTATTATTTCAACATTCTAACTTGGCAGTCTTAAGCATTCTAATTGGACTTATAATGGTCCTCTAAATTAAAAGATGAATTGCAAGGTCAAGGTTAGAGCATCGTTTTTGGTTCCCACCACCACAAATGCATTTTCATTTCATATCTATAATAATTTTATTTGATTTTTTTTAGGGTGAAATAGAAGCTGTACCATGTCTTTGAAGCCGCGGGTGGTGGATTTCGACGAGACATGGAACAAGCTACTAACTACAATCAAGGCTGTTGTGATGCTCGACTACGTGGAAAGAGCCACGTGGAATGATAGATTCTCGTATCCTACATCGCAGTGTTTCATAATGCAACTTGAAGGTTAACAAAGTGGCTGAGTATAAATTTAATCGGCTGCATTTTATTCATATATAGTTTGAAAAACTTCAGCAGTTGTTGTGGATCAGACAAATAAGATCATGTGACGCTTTTGCGTTGGACATTTTTGTTTAAATACGGCATTCGAGGTCATCTCATGCTGACCATTGCCGACTTAGTAACAAAACTATATAACATAATTGCCGTAAATAATGTTACTTGTGCAACTAATGATGTGTTCATCCTGAACTCCCAACTCCAGCGATATTTATGCCTTGTGCGTTGCTTACCCAGAGCCTTTGGGTGAAAGATTATACACAGAGACCAAGGTTTTTCTCGAGAACCATGTCAGGCAGTTGTACAAGGTAAGAACTCGCCAAACCCTCCGCTGCCGACCTGTTCATCTACTGTTGTGCTCCTCCTGCTCTTAACACCATCTGTACTTATTTGTGTGTTTTTTTGTTGTTGTTGTTTTTTTTTTTTTTAGAAAGTCCTGGATTCAGAGGAAAAGGTTTTAGTTATGTACCACAGGTACTGGGAAGAGTACAGCAAAGGAGCTGACTACATGGACTGCTTGTACAGGTGAGACGCTGCTGTTTACAGAATTTACCATTCCTGTTTATTTTTAAAGAAAAATGTGTGATGTTGCATTGTGGTCAGGATTCGCTAATTGTAAATTTGTAGCTTTAACTTACTGATACCAATTCCTGCTCTTAGTGATTTGTCTACTAAGAAACTTTAAGAAGATGTAAAAGCTGCACTTAAAATATTATTTCTATCCTTCTGTGCAGTGAGAGTGAGCTCTAATTAATCATTTATATCAAGAGCGGGGTAGTCTCTGTAAAACAGTGCTTTCTGTTATTTTGCAACTAAGACAAAATGATCCCTTCGTCAACATTGAGAACATTGAGTTGTTTTAGCATCTTGTTGGTGATTGGTTGTATTGGTGTCCTCCCCAAAAGCAGCAGTGTCCAAAACCTTTGCATTGTGGGCCAAAGACACCAAGTTGAAAGGGGGAACCTTGATTTTTTTTTTTTTTTTAGATTAAATAATCAAAACAGATTTTATTTTTGAAGAATTTCTTTAATCTGCTTCGAAATGATTAATTATGTAATATGAAATAAAGTAGAAATGAACAAATAATCTCAAATGTTTGCCTGTATAGAAGAAAGGCTTCCAGTTTCCTAACTTTTTGGATTGGTTGATTTCTAGAAAACATTTTAGCCTCTATTTCGCCAAATTCAAGGAATATGTTTATTTTCCCATTTTAAAAAAAGCACTGGATGTTTGTGGGATTTCAAAATGAAAGCAAAACAAACTTGACATTTTTGGGCAATGTCCAAATGATCTACCTGACAACAGTTTACCTGTCATTGAAAGTCATCTAGAAAAACAAAACATCCTTCTGTATCAGCTGCATTTGCCACAGAGCCAATATTTTATTCATTTATTTATTTTATTTACAATTTTTTGAGCTGAACTCAGGAACCATGCAAAAATGATTTCCAGGACCAGAAATGTCTCCTGTGGTCACACTTTGGTCACCCCTACTGTAGAGGATGAAACTCTTCACTCCAACTCTGAAATTTCCCAGAAGTCTGCCAATATTTCCAAATCTAGCAATTTTAGCTGCCTTACTGATATAGAAAGTGAGACTTTGAGCTATTTCCTTTAAGTAGCAAGTTTCACATTGAAGGTGACTGTTGTTTCTGCAACGTCCAAACACGATGTGTTCATTTACTGGAAAAGACCTGAGTGTTTTGAGTTCCCCACTCCTGTTAGTATCACTTTTTCATCATAAACAGAGTCAGCTTATCACTTTTTTGTCCTTAATCATTTACAGACTTAATTTAGTCCTTTTTTTCCCTTCAGATTTATTTTTATTTTTTTTCACAGAAATACACCTGCTTAGGTGCATTTTTGAACCAGCACAGATTTTCGTCTCAACTGTCTCTTTTCACAAGCAACAGTAATTCTGCCATTATGGTTTTTATTTCTTAGTTATTTTTTTGTCATTGCCTTGAAAACGACCCGTCTCAGTCGCCAGCAGACGCATTAAGTGTCCCGATTTCAGTCGGCGTTTCTTTTTAAAGAACTTTCAAGTCTATTTTTATTTGTGTTTCTTCACAAGAGTGACTGTCCATCTAAATGCCTGTTATTTATAGTGTCACTTAAAGCACAGGAAGTGGCTCTCTGTGTGGGGATCAGTTTGTATTTTAAAAAATATATATTTTTGTGTGCTATTTTTTTTCTGACATCCTGGTAAATGTCTTTGATATTTAACACATCTGAATAAATGTAATGCAACTTACAGTGGCCATATTCAGCCAATGGGGATCAGCTGAATGGCTGGGGACAGTAAATTTGAAAATCAGATCAAATATGGTTACCGTGTGCTGTTTAGAGTTAATAATTACACATTTCAAGTAAGAGACGTCCATTTCATATGGGAATGTTTTTCAAGACTAATATTTGTGTTTGTGCAGCATGAATACCATACCATCCAGTCGCCTAAAAAAATAAAAAAAATAAAATCATAATCTTTGTTATTATTACAAATGTGCAACAATATATCACAATAAAACAACACTTTTGCCAACTTTGTTGTATTTAGCGACTTTTCAGACAAAAACAAAATCGGAATTGGCAACAGCGATGATCGGTTAGAAAACTGCAATCCTGTTTAGAAACTTAATGCTTGTCCATGTCAAACAGCAGAATCTAACCTAAACCTTTCAGAGCTTGTTATACCTTGAAACCAGTAACCCTGGCTGGTCTCTTGAGTTTACCAGAATCTGTTGGAAAGCAGCTACCAAAACAAGACTTTTATTTCTGCTTTTCACTGGGGGGATAAAACCCAAACTAAATCATGCAACCACTGATGAAATTAGTTGACCAAGTCCATCATTTCACGCCTGTCCCTGTGCCTTCCAGGTATCTGAACACACAATTTATCAAGAAGAACAAGCTAACAGAAGCAGACCTACAGTACGGCTATGGGGGAGTGGACATGAATGAGCCGCTGATGGAAATCGGAGAGGTACTCACCCATTCTTCCACATGTAGCTTATTTGTTTTTTGGTCTTTTTTTGTGTCTCTCACTTGATTGAGATCACATGAAATTATTTGTTATTTCTATCGTGAGACAATAACGCAGTGACAAAATGCTGTCTTGTTATTGC